TCTTTGATTGTAAAACCAGAAACAAAATCATTGCCTTTAAATGAAAATGAAGTATATAATACCTTTAAAAAATTACAATGAAAAAATTTCAATTCGGATACAAGGTTTGAACTTGGCACTGTTAATATCACAATTATGTCTACGGTACCAACGACTAGACGATCACGGCTATGAACAGTTTGAATGTAAAAGTAAAAAATTGACATAATTATACCATAGATATAATAGCCATAAATAAAGTACTGGACCCACATCAAAAGCAGATGATATTTGCCGAAATTTTATCACCCTCTTATTATATACATGTCACGCTTGGTGTTAATTAGCCTTCGTTGGCAATTGCCGTCGATCGATATCTAATAAATTGTGAATCGGGAGACTTTTAAACACACGAATGTGCTACGTAATGACTTTTAACCATATTAAAAAACAACTTTTTTTTTTTAACTCTGCCTGGTCCAAAGCTCGGATAAAATAGGAGGAAAGTCATGAGAAGTAAATATTGTAAAAGCGCAAATGTCCTAAATAAAAAGCGCAAATGTCCTTTTATCAAAAGCGCAAATGTCCTATGAATTGAAGCGCAAATGTCCATTTAAAAAAGCACAAACGTCCTATGTAAAAGCGCAAACGTCCCGCGCCGGAAGGGATGTATAGCTGTATTTATAGTACAAATCACACCTCTAACACAATTGTAAGAAGGAAGGGAAAAAAACATGAATGACACAGGACAAAACTCCTATATTTTCATTTTATCATAGCCATTATACTTCAAAAATGAAATCGACAATCAGATTATACCACCATCTATTTAATAGCAAAACAAGCACAAAAATGGTAAGCGGAAAAGTATATAGAAGAAACAAGTTCAGAGATATGATTTTGCTATTTCTATATTATTTAATGTATTCAGTGTGTCCACTACATACGTTTTCTTCACCAAACGGCGTTTAATTAGTTTATAATGTATTCATTTTTTTCTCTTTATTTTCTAAAACTTCGTGTTACGACAGAAAGTTTCAACACTTGTAAAGATCTTTTTTCTTTTTTTCTTTCTGGCATAATATATGATTACACTATTTTGAATCTCGATAAAAAAGAAATTTCTTTAACTCGCCATAGAAAAATTCGACCAGGTTCGACCTCTTAACCACGTATACCATCAGTAAACGACATGTCTCCTCTTGTCAATCATACAGGTCTTATTTCCCGAGTGCAACCGATGCAAGTGCTATGACAATTTAATTGTACATGCCTGTTAAGTCCATTTTCCATGATTTCTCTATTTTATTATTTCGACAACAGCATAACCTTCTCATTTGTTGACCGATTTTCTCCAAATAAATTACAATCCGAACAACTTTTACAACCAGACGCTTTTTATTGCTTCCGCGTCACGGCATATTATTACTTGAGACAGGTAACGCATATTAATTATCGGTTGATAAGACGAGTGCCCGATAATTTAAATATAATTATGATAAGTAATTAGTCTATTGGGAGGATGTCGGCAAATATCATCTACATCAAAGGCCACTATGCGCAGTGCCGTGCTTTTGATATTTCAAAGGAAACTACATGGGGCTCAGTGTGACAAATTCTGAGTACTTTATCTATGGCTATTATATCTATGATTATACATTGTACATCTGTAGCAAGAGCAATTCAGAATGCGTACCACAGATAATACTAGTTCATGTAGTTTATTGACTGGTTTTCGATGGATGCCAAATGTAATAACGTTACAATAATCTAAACTTTATGAAAGGGAAACAGTTTAACCAAAATTCATGTATAATTGTTCAAAATAGACCTTAAACAATTATTTTATTTATTTCGGAAAGCATCATTAACTGGAGGATCATGAAATTGTAATTAGAATTTTTTAACTGTTCAAAAAAGATACATAAATTCTGTATATTTATATATGTCTTTTTGAATAAATCAAAAATACCAAAATCTAAATTGTAAATAAACTTGAAATTGTTATGCTGTGGCCAAACCGGTTCTTGGGGTGAACACTAAATTTTCAACAAAATCTGAAGACGACTTAATTTGCTTAACATTGGTATGGACGAATACTGTTATATCTAATGCAGGGCAAGCTCATGTTGATTTGTCACATACATATGTTTTAATGGCATATTTGTCCAATTTCTGTATTGTACCTTCGATATTTGTTCACCTAGATACATGAAATTAACTGAAACTCGAAAATCAATACATTTTCTGAAAAATCAACATGAGCTTACCCTGCATTAGATATAACAGTATTCGTCCATACCAATTTTAAACAAATTAAGTCGTCTCGCAGGCCTCCAGATTTTTTTGAAAATTTAGTGTTCACCGCAGGAACCGGTTTGGCCAAAACATAACAATTTCAAGTTTATTTACAATTTACACAGTGTGTATATGTTAAGTATGTTTAAATGAACATATGTTCTCATAGTTTAGGACTTTACTCATTATAGGTTGAAAAATACAGGCAAAATTTAGATGTTGATGAAGTGTCCTATATTCTGACTTTAGTGGAATCTTAAAAAAAACTGTTTCAAACGTTTAATTTAAGGAATGCTCTGATTTCAAAACTTAAATCTTTCTCTTTTGCTTTTGATTGATATCATTTGCATATCATGTAATAGTATTCGCTGGACATTCAACTATCTTAGCCAAGCATGTGCACTTCAGAATGCAATCTTTAGAAAAAAAATAAACCTGTTTTAAATTATGTACATTGTGCGAATGTCGTGTTCGACTTATAATCCTTTAATCTTTGAAATAGTCATAAATTACTATTAATATAAGTATTTTGTTGCATCTACGTAAATCTATATGCGTGTGTTTTGCCACTTTACTTAGAAAGATAAAAATATATTTTAATTTTCTTTCAACAAAATTTCCTTCTTCAATTTGCTACTCGTCTACATGTACAAAAGAAAAAACAACACGTTCATTGTTTAGTTTTTGCCATCGAAGTTCTTTATAGATATATTTTATATGATCTATCTATCAGGTAAATATCAAACATGAATCCAGAGTTTTGCAAGTACATTGACGGTTGTGAATTAAGGATAAGTTACTTTATGGAAAACTCATTTACCTGGATGGTAATATTATCCTTAGTCTGTCTTTTAATAATTTGATCATTTTTCCTCTTTTGCAAATTATAGATAAAGAGTAAAATGAAAATTTGTTTTCAATTGCATTCAGTCAGAGAGAAACATATTTTTTGTTTTATTTCAAACAATTGCAGAAGTACGGATATAAAAATATTCTTAATCTTTTCCAATTTGCAAATATAATTTGGAGTTTTTTAGTTTTTTTTGCACATGGTAGATGAAAATTGTATGATCTAACTTCTTTCAGAGGTCTGTATCATCTTGAAAATATGACAATTCCGTGAATCACACGTTGCTTCAAAGAATTCTTGCAAAATTCAGAAACTTGCAGTACGGTTATATTTTATATTTCTCCGTTTAAAAAGACCGTGTTAAAATAAGAAGGTGAAAACGGGAAAAAAGGGGAGGGTTGTTACACGACACGTTCTTCGCAATTTAATGTTGAACGAATAGAAACTATCTTACTTTTTTCAAATATCGAATACACAACCAAATCTATAACTTATCAATTTTTGCAGAGTAGTTTCTGGATGCATTTTATTGGACATCAGATTAATGTAGGCTTGGAAATGTATCACTTTTATCCAATCACCTGTCTTATAAAACAAACCTGTATGCGATGATGCTTGAACATTGTCGGCATAGTTTTTTATAATGAATTCTACATTAAAAGGATGTTGTTGCTACTGTGGTCTTGTCATATAATAATAGACAACATTTATACCTATATATATCTTCCACTAAGTATATTCATGGCTTGAGGGAAAGAAAGCAATTATTTAACTCGATAACCCTTTCAGTTGTGATTCACAGTTATGATTTGTCATAAACTGATTTAAAAAATTATCAAACGGAACTCAAACTGTTGGAGATGTGGGTTACACGTCAATATGACAGCAATCGAACAACAAAACCAACATAAGAACATCAAGAGGGCAGCATATATAGTCTTCAACAAGAAACAGGTGTTTCCACAATATGTCAAGTTCTAAATTGTCATGAATTTCTATAAAAATTGTGAATACATAAAACCAATACAATTAAAGATCTGCCATCAGAACGGAATTCTCCAAAATGATGTAAAATTTTAGGAAAAAGGCCTGAATATAAAAATAAAAATAATAATTTGAAAGGTAGCAATATTTTACTACTTCAAATCATAATTTTCCTTTTCTTTAACCTACAAGAGAACTAGCCATGGATTATATCGTCCGCATATTTCCCAAACGGTCATGTAGATTGATGGCGTCATGTGTTAAAAGGGTCACCCGAACCATACAGATTAAATGACATACACCGATTTGCTTGCTCAATAACTATAACATATTAAACGTTGTCCTGCGGACAGAATATTGAAAATCGACACTTACGGTAAAAAATGCGTATTTTTCGTCGTCCTCTCTCTCTCAATATCTCTCTCTCTCTCTCTCTCTCTCTCTCTCTCGTCATTAAATTTTTTTGATATAGGTGAAAATAATCTTAAAACTGTATTGTGACTGTTTGTCCGTGACATTTTGTCTGTGATGTTTTGTCCTGTGTCTTTCTGTCATAGTGTAATCATAATCACAAATTAAATACAAGCTATTTGTGTAATCATAATCACAAGTAAGAAACAAGCTATTTTGTTCTGTCATGTCTGTGTAACCAATAAGAAAACTTGATAATAAGAAACTAACATAATAATATTCCCTATTGAAAGTAAAGCCTTTTGATGTTTTATGTGCCCCCAAGATGTATTTTAAACTAGTGTCTCAATAGGTCAACCCACCATAATAGAAACTATGAATAATTCTAATGCAATCTTTATGTAACACGCTTTCTCATTGGCTCTTGTCAAGCGTACAATGACAATGTACCCGTCGGAGCCGCATCACAAAATTCCTTGCGTATGAATCTTGTGACATAAATACTTCGCACAACAATAACAATGGCTACGTCAGATGACGATTTTCACATGTCAGATCTGGATGACCTGGATCTTTTGGGACCGTTAATGCCAAATTTTGACTTGGAAGCAGATATACTGGAAGGTTTAGAGTCAACTGATTTAAATGTATCCAACGAAAAAAATAGGGAAGTGTCAGACTCTGATCAACAACCTACGGCAGTGCCAGAGGAATTTACAGCAGACGACGTAAACACAAGTGGTGTTTTTGGTGATGATACAACTGATGGAGTTGCTTGTAGGTTTCGAATGAACAATTTCTAAGCAGATTTTAATCTGCACAGCTTATACCTTGACCCTTTTATACTTCACCATCATTTCTTCCTTGAGCATGTCAATCATTTTTAAACAACCAACATCCCGTAACAATAAACGGGAACCATTCAGGCTTTCTTTGTTTTTGCACTTCATAATTCACTTTCCCTTAAAAATGCATGTTCTAAAATTGATCACTGTCAGTTGTTTCAACCTTTTTATTACTTCCTCTGTCAAATTAAAATGATCTTTGCCTTTAGGGAAAAAGGGGGGGGGGAGATCTATGTCAAATCAAATTGGGGTTTGCCTTTGGGGGAAAAAGGGGGGAGGTGCTAAAGGGGTTATTCAGGAGATAACGCAAAGTTTCAAATTAAGAGATAACTCTATTGTATTTGAAGCTTTGCAGACGTCCATCGGTAGTTTTACTGTCGCAAATTTAGTTTACCTGTCGACGCGTAGCGGAGACAGGTAAACGGGTATTTGCGACAGTAAAACTACCAATGGACGTCCGCAAAGCTTCAAATACAATACAGTTATCTCTATTTTAATGCAAAACAAGTACATAACTCAATTTCAATCATTATTTCAGTGTAAAATTTTCATTAAAGAAAATTCCGCGAAAAGATGTTATCTTCTTTGGCCCCTAAACTAGGTGACGTCATAGGTATGCTTCCGGCGTCAAACGTAAACACCGGGCGTTTTCTGGCTTCTTGACCGCTTCAGAATGTAATAAAATTTCATAAAAAAGAAGATTTCTAGGTGCAACATGCGAGTTTTTTGCTTATTATTGTAGAAATTACATGTCAATACATTCCGCAATTCAAAATGTTGGCTTCTTTAGTTACAGACAGGGAGATAGAGAATTTTACGCTTACTGTCATCCAATCAGAACCATTGATACAAAATAATTACATTAGAATACAATTATCTCTTTTCTAATGCAAAACAAATTCATAATTAAATTTCAATCATTATTTCAGAGTAAAATTTTCATTAAAGAAAATTCCGTGAAAAGATGTTACTTTCTTTGGTCTCTAAACTAGGTGACGTCATAAGTATGCTTCCGGTGTCAAAATAAAAACCAGGCGTTTTCTGGCTTCTTGAATAGAAAAAATTACTTTTAAAAAAGTGTACACGTTAATTGACAAATAAATAGCCAGTTAATAATTTGACCCTAGTCATATTTTTTTACAGTGGAACTAGTGAATGAACCAGAAAAAGACCAAGACTTAATTGAAATGATGGAGGTTGTTGAAGGTATAACAACAGAAGAAAACAAAGAAAAGCCAACTGGGAGGTTCCCGAAACTATCATCTGATGACAAAGAAAATATACTTGATGAGGCGCTTAGTAAATCAACCAAGAAAAACACAAAATATGGAGTGAAGATATTTAGGCGTATGTGTTAAAATAAAAAAAAAATTGATGTATAAAGTTTGTTTATATTTCTTTTCGTCTTCAAAAAAAAATAAGACAAAGGAATGAAATATAGTCATAATCAAAATCTATCCAGCTATCCACTTTCACTGCTTACTGTCTATTTTGGTCATGGAATCCCGTCCAAAAGACTAAATTTTTTACATTGCAAACGCTAAATGGGTGCAATTGCGAGTGTTTATTGTACAATTTTACATTATGTTTTCGTCTTATATTTCCGCATGCATAAGATGAAAATTTCTGTTCACTAATAATTTCATGAAATTTGCTGAATTAAAAATACCGTTATACATCCCAACATCATGTTTGCACAAGTATCTTCCTAATAGTATTAGATGCCTTGAAATCCACAATCAATTCAACTACCAATTATAAAACTTCCTCACTTTCTATTATAATGGCAATTAGCAAACATGTATATGCACATGTTTCATAACACTTTATCTTGAGCAACTGGTCCATTCTATTTACAGATTTTGTTGTGTCAAAAAAACGATATAAACATTTTGATGTTTTCTTCTGTCTCGTCTTCCAATATTGCCTTTTATTTGTATTTCCCACATCCAATTGAATCATGTGTTGTAATTGTATGTTATATGTACATCATTTGCATGCTGCTTTGTTTTACGGAGTTTTCGAGACTTCCATTTTTATCTAGCACCTGCAAAATAAATAAAGAAGTTAATTTTAGTCAATTTTTTTATGTTAAATTAAAAAAAGAAAAGAAAATTACACTACACAATGTTTAATTCTTCAACAATTTACATGCTACATCATACAATGTCATATGTAAATTTTCCTTGTTAAACGTAAACAAAAGTGTTTTCTTGAATCAAGAACGCATGAAAAACATTAACAACAAAAAACATTTTTGGTAAAAAATGCAAGTTTTTAGATGAATATTGAAAACATAAATTGAAGAGATAACTGTATTGTATTTGAAGCTTTGTGGACATCCATCCGAAGTTTTACTGTCGCAAAATGAGTTTACCTGTCAGTCTTTACTTAATAAAATTTGGAAAAAATTGCTTTAAATTATTATAAATAGGAAACAAGTGTGGCCTAGATTTTTTTGCCACATGCATATAAAGTATAACAAATACATGTATCATAATTCTAAATTTCAGAGTGGTTAACTGATAGAGAGAAAGATGCAACCTTTGAAAATTATACAGTTGAACAATTGAATTGTGCCTTGACTGAATTCTATGCTGAGGTCCGTAATACAGACGGAGAATATTATGCCAAGAGTACTTTAGTTGGTATCCGGGCATCTATTAATAGACACCTTAGGGCACCACCTTTTAGTTAGACATATTCCATCCTGTCTGATGATTCTGCCTTCCTTAAATCAAATAAAATGTTTTTGGCCATGATAAAGAAGGTTCAGAGGGAAGGAATGGACAGGACCAAGCATCACCCATCTATTTCTGAAGGTGATTTGCATAAACTGAGGTCATCAGATGCCTTATCAACTCAAAACCCTAAGACTCTTCAAAGAAAAATCTGGTTTGACCTAGTTTTAAGTTTTGGAAGGAGGGGCCGGGAAAACCAAAGGTTTTTCACTGATACAACCTTTGTTGTTAAATCAGATGATTGTGGTCGTCGTTTTGTAGAAATGGCAGTGAGTGAGACAACAAAAAATCATAAAGGGGGATTAGATGACAATCAAAACATTATAAAACCTAGGATGTACGAAACAAAAAAGCCTGACTGTCCTGTTGCTGCCTTGACAAAATATCTATTCAAGAGGAACCCTACATCAAGTATATTCTTTCAACAACCTCGAGTAAAAGTAAATGACGAGAACGAGATGTGGTATACCTCAAGGCCTGTTGGGGAAAGACTTTTGAACAACATGATGGTCGACATATCAAAAAGTGCTGGGCTAAGTCAGATTTACACCAACCATTGTGTCAGGGCAACAACTGTGACTGTTTTGGCACAATCAGGTGTACCAAAGACAGATATAATGAAAATAACAGGACACAAGTCAGAGGCCAGTTTGGAATCCTATTATCAGGACTCCTCCGAGAAACAGAAGAGGCAGTATTCTGCCATTCTACTTGGCAATTCCGAAAATTGCAGTGATAAATCGGACTCAACCGCACCAGTGCCAATTTGTACACAACCCAATGCAATGCCGTTGCCGCCAAACCCAGCCCCTTCCTTCAACGCGCACTGTTTGAATTTGACCAACACACATATTAACAATCAACTGTCGTTACCTGTTCTGTATAACAAGCAGTTTGAGGTCCATAATTCAACCGTCCAAGTCTTCAATTACAACATTACAGGGAACGCTGCACAGCCATAGACTTTGTTGTTCATCTCCTTCGTCCGAATTCGTGATCGGTCATGACACTTGATCATATTCTAAAAATATCCGAGGGGACTTGGAATTTACGTAGAAAACTTTTATTATTTCTTGTTTAATAAATTGAGAATTTTCTTGAAAGTATAGTTTTTAACCTCTCATACTTTGAAATAAAAAATTAATTCACGCAAGCTTAACTTGGACTTCAGGTAAAGGAACTATTTCTTGGCGGATGGATAATGTAAATAGAGATGAAATGAACATTGTAAACATTCAAATTGGATCAATTACACTAGGTTAGGAGAACTTGCATTAGAATAGAGATAACCGTATTGTATTTGAAGCTTTGCGGACGTCCATCGGTAGTTGTACTGTCGCAAATATCCGTTTACCTGTCTCCGCTCCGCGTCGCCAGGTAAACTCAATTTGCGACAGTACAACTACCGATGGACGTCCGCAAAGCTTCAAATACAATACAGTTATCTCTTAAATGTGATGCACAAAAGTGCACTTGCTGAAATATCTCGCCTGCTTTACTTATTATGACTAAATTTATCTGTACGTCTAAATACTGCTAAGGACTCCTTTGTGTACTAAGGACTTAAAATATGCCACTAAGGACTAGAAGGGGTGCTGTTACATGTACATTGTTTTCATATTATGGTAAAGATTGATATTAAAAATATAAATTCCAAATTTTATAGGAAAAAAAACACAAATAAATGAGTCATTGAACAATATATAGGCACGTGCCGGTTTTTCTTTGATATTGCCGAAAATCAGTGAACCGATTGACACGAGCCAACTAAAATAACAACTGTTAAACAATCATAATCTTTTTTTATTCTAGATAATTAACAATTGTAAAGACTGGTGCTAAATATGTGTAATCAAATGTTTTGTTCTTATTCACAAAGATTAAAAGGACAAATCATTTTGTTTTTGTTTTATTTCTCATCCGATAAAGTTATTTGCGTGCATGGCTTTGATGTGCATCAACTATTAAGTTAGAATGTGGTCAGCTTTTAAAATGTTTATACATAAAAGAGTTATCAAGACAAAAGGAATAAAAATGTCGACAATAAAAAAAAATTTATATTCTATGCTCAAAATAGATATAAGAAGTTGTGGTATGAGTGCTAATGAGTCAACTCTCCATCCTAGGATGAAATTTGAAAAAAAAATAGGCAGGACAGGAGTTTGGAGTAAAAAAAAAGGCAGGATGACAATTTATGTAAAAAAATGTCAGGATAAACTAAAAAAAAAAGGCAGGACCGAATAGAGTGAAAAATAAAAAGGCAGGACCGAATAGAGGGAAAAATAAATAGGCAGGACAAAATTTTTCATCCTAGCCCCCCATAAAAATCAAAGGGTAGCTCCCTTATGTGGTAGTTGAAATTATTCAGTGCAATCATTTTGTGTCCGTCGTCGTCTTTCATACATATCAAATGTTGTATCCACTGTTTGCTGTTCGTCGTCTGTTGTTTATAGCAGTCAGGCCTCGGTCTTCAAATTTTAGCCCCCACTTAGGTAATGACCAATCATAAGGAGGGGGGGGGGAGCCTTTTTTTCTCTCGGGTAAACATTTTTTTCTTTACTAAAAAAACACTATAATAAACAATTTTCTATATTTTATCATAAAATTAACCGATGTATACTTAAGATTTTAAACTATAGATGTTGAATTAAAAACAAAGATGTAAAAACAATGATAAGTCCTTAAGTATTTTTATGGTAAACAAATCTAATGTCTGGGTTATTTCTTATGCAAATCATTAAATTTCCATTTTTTTTTAAGATAAAAGTGTAACCAGTTATGTAATTCGGTTCACGGATTTTCGGCAAAATCAAAGAAAAACCGGCACGTGCATAAACATTGTTCAGTTATTTAATTCATTCATTTATTTGTGATTCTTTTTCGATAAAATTTGGAATTTATGCATTAAATATCAAACTCTACCATGATATGTAATAGCAAGGGTGTGATTCAGTTTTACATAATAGAGAATAATGGGCAAACACAAATAAACAATAGAGAAAAATAGCAAACAATTTACAAAAATGAAGAATCCTCCATCAATACCCTCATATACCTGTAGTTTTCAACAACAAACAGGGGCGGATCCAGAACCTTGAGGTTTTTTTTTTTTTTGGGGGGGGGGGGGGGGGGTGACCATAAGACCAAAATCAAATATTTATTTAGAGATGTATATATGCGATTGTGGGTGGTAATTGTGGGGAGGTGTCAGATCATCGTTTCTATAGTTCTATATCTTTTATTTTTTTACCGTTTCACTCTATTCTTTAATCTTCTGCCAATATGTCTGTATTATAATTGTATTAAGCATGCATGTACTATTATATTTGTCACTGGACGTTAAGCAACCAACAATCCCCTCTTTATTCTGTTATTCATATTTATTTATGTATATTGGTCCCATTATTCTCCTTTCTGTAAACCCCATCAGTGACCCCATTCATATCCTCATAAATGGTGACCCATTCCTAGTCTCATACATGTATGTACGTGTTAATTGAAACAGGAAAAATATACTGTCATATATTACTGTATGCTTGGACTAATAGATAAACGTTACGGTATTAGTTCCAGATTATGTTTTATAACATACAATAAGTTTTATTAATGATTATATATTAGACAATGACACTTTTTTTTTTTGTGGAAAGAGGGGGGGGGGGGGGGGGGGGTAAATCCGCCACTGACAAAAACCAAATATCTTTACCTGTTTTAGATATTTTAACTTAAAGTTTGTATTTTAAAGTCATACAAAATAAAAAGACGTGGTGTGCACACGCGATTTCAAACGAGACAACTAACCATAGGTCACTTATGCCATGGAAGTAATATTGAAAGTAATAACAACGTCGTCACTTCAAAGATTTCATCTGCGTTACCGCCCATCTTTCGATAACTCATTAATTGGTTTAATATATGGCATGGTAATTGACTCCCGGCATGTGATAGATCAAATCACTGGCACTTTTCGGTCATTGTCGTGTTCCCGGAAAATTACGAATAGACCAGTTGTTGTCGTTTATACGTACGAAGTAACCCGAATAGTTCACTCGTTACATTCGGCTGCTGTACGCTACTGAATAGAGTCAGTCGTTCAATGTTGATTTTAGTCTATTTTTCCTATTTATGTCTTTTTCGATCTTAATAGTTAAGGCCGACAGTTATCGCATATGGAATTTAAGAAAAAGGGTGGATCATTTTCAATATTAATGTGCCAGAGTCATATTTGATTGGTAATCAAATATGATTAGTATTAGTTAATATAGTTTTAGTCATATATTTAGTTACTTTGCTTATTATATTTGATACAGCTATGATTTTCACTCTTTAGTATTCAGTTTCACACTTTCCTTTATTGGACCTCAGTCATTTTCCTGTACTGAACCTCATTCAGTTTTGGAGGGAAAGTACTGGTCATTCTATTGGTCACTTGTGAGTTGTTTAGGTATTCTCTATTGATTCCTTTGTTCCATTTAATTTTCTAGTGACAGTATTGTTACTTACCTGTTTTATTAGCCTTGGTGACATTTTGACAATATTTGATATTGGATATTATATACATATTTCATACTTCTGTTGGAATTCATTATTCATTTCTACAGGTCAGTTATATTCTATTTTCTAACAAGAACTAATATATTGATGTTTTAACATATTGAATAAAAGATGAATGAATGAGTTGAATGAAAGTATATGCAGAGGAAGTGATTAAATTAATAACACACATATTAAAATATAAACCTTTATTAGTAAAGCATATTTGGTAAATGTCAAATAGAATAAAGCATTTAAAACAGTATATAAACTTCATAGTTTTCTATACATTTAAAAGTACATGAGTACAGAGATCTGATACTAAGATAGACATTTTATTGAGTACATTGTGTTTTGATTAATGTAAGAATAATGTCCAGGTCAGTGGACTTATGAATGTTATATTTATTTTATTCAGATTATGATATTGAATTGGTTTTGATAGAAATCAAGTAGATGGTTCCACGCATGACCCATATACCACATATATGGTAAGGAATGTGTTACATGTTTTAGTTTGTGATTGTCTTGTCTATTTTGTAACTGTATAGTGTTATAGTGTTTATATGTAATTGTCGGAACACTAACATTGAGATTGCTAGTGCTTATGCTTATTTATAATACTTAGAGCACATGATTATGAGACGTTATTTGTGCATTTTATTTTAATATAAGAGAAGTAATAGCATTGGAATATATTTGACTTATTCCCCTTTGTCTATAAGTCTGTTTTATGTTGTTATGTGTTGTCTATGTAATGTGTATTTATTATTGTTATATATGTTGTAGGGTTTAATAATATGCAGTCAGTGTTAATAAAACCACTATAAAGAACCCTAGATAGTCCATTTGTACTTATTGAGCCTTTTGGACCTGCTATATTTTGGCGCCCAACGTGTATGTGATTCACCC